TAGGAGTAGTAGTAGTAGTAGTAGTAGTAGTAGTAGTAGCAGTAGGAGTAGTAGCAGGAGTAGCAGTAGGAGGAGGAGTAGTAGAAGTAGAAGTAGTAGTAGTAGTAGTAGTAGTAGTAGTAGTAGTCCCCTTAAACCCGCAGCTGTCAGGTGAAGCAGCAATGGTTTCTGGCAGATGGCAGTGCTCAGCCAGGAGATGGCGACAAGCTTTGGCAGATCCCCTTGCTGCCTGGGCCTCTGAAGGACCCGAAGCCTGCTGTCAAAACTTCAGAATTTCTAGTTGTACTCATAGTTGAATGCTGTTGGTATGTATGTTTGTGAGTTAAATGTATGTATGTAGGTATGCATGCAGCGGCGTATGTATGCACGTACCTTTGTATGTGTGTTCGATTGTGTGTGTTGCTTGTTGTTTGTGTAATTTGTTTATTTGTCGGTTTGTTTGTACATGTGTGTGCATGTGTGCCTACGTGTGTAGAAAGTGTGCATGTAGTTCTGTATACGTATGTGTATACTGTTTCTTACATATACAGACATGTTTGAGACGTTTGGCTAAACTGCATTAGAAGAGTCCTGGTTTAAAGCCTAGAGATATACCAGCTTTGGGTGCTGAATGCAGAAGAGTGGGAGACAGCTTCACAACTGTGCTTCCACAGTACTGAGCTTACTGGCTTCTGCCCCGAGCATTGGCATGTGTTCTAAGGGCAGAGGGGCAAACACACAAACTGCCAACCTTCGAAGCCGGGGCCTGCCTGCTCAGCCGAAAACTAAAACCCCTCAGCCGACTTGAACCCTTAATCCTAAACCCTAAACCCTAAACCCCTTAATAAATCCGAGACCTCCCAACATAGGACGTCACCCAAAAGGGCAAGCAACCGCTCCCACTGCTCGACAAGAAGATGGACACGTGGGATGTTCCTGCAAATGCAGGGGCCTGGATTTTGGTCTGCGGTTGAAGGTGTAAGGGCAGAGGGTTCAGGGAGGTTTATATTTTAGAGTTCTAGGTTTAGGGCTCGTACGGTTTAGATTGAGGGAGAGGTCGAAGCGTAGATGAACACAACATAGCCCATCATTTTCTCCATGGAAAATAGAACGTGGACAGGTCGAGGTTTCAGGATTGTGAGGACTCGTTGGGAATCTGCGAGCTTCAGGACTTTTGGGATTCTATGTGACTTTGGGTGAGATTGAGCTATATCCCAGGGCTCTTGTTGCCTGGTGCCCTCCATCACTAGCAGGGAATGAAGACGAAAGAAACATGCATACATGCATACGTGCATGCATGCATACTCGCCAACATGTGGCATGCAAAGGTACATGCATGTACACACTCGATATGAGCCTCAAAGACAACCTGGGGTGTTGAAGGTATTAATCCATCAATCCGCCTTCACTCTGATCCTCCACAGCTTGCGTTCTGGAACTTCCTGAAACCTAAAACCCTAAACCCTAAACCCTAAACCCTAAACCCAAACCTGGGTCGTCTCGGTAATGTGTCGTGATTGGCCCGGTGATGTTCGACAAGCCCAAGCCAGGGGCCCCAAGCTTGGAAGCAAGCTCTAAGTCAAGCCCTGCTGCACCCACTAATAATTACCTATACTTCTTGTTTTTTTTTGGGGGGGGTGTCCATTATTATTATTATTATTATATATATATATATATATGCAACCCCCCCCCCCTCCGGTACCTACCTTTTTTGCTGTTTTGTGCGTTGTTGGATATATACATGTGTAGAGCGTATGCCTGTGTCTATCTATACATACGTACATACATGCATACACAGACGAGGACATGTGCAGCAGAGCCAATGCTGTGACATGTTTGCGCCATCAATTCCCTAAATTCTCAAGCCCATGGCCTTACGTGCTGGAATTCGGGAATTCCTTAAACCTTAAACTCCTTGCGTTTCTTGAATTCCCTAAATTCCTAACCTCTAGCACCATGTACTGGCTGTCGGGCATTCCCTAAATCCCTCCCTTTAGGGAATGTAACATGGATTCCTTAGACCGTAGACCCATACATCGGGCAAGGATCACGGAATTTATTTGGGGACTTTTAGGGAATGAGCCAAATCCTTAAATGCAAGTGCAGGACATGGGCTAGAGATTGGGGAATTTAGGGAACGCAAGACATCCTTAAACCCAAGACATGGGGGCAGGGATTATGGGATTTAGGAATTTCGGGAATTAGGGAATCCGAGCAGTGGGGAAAATGTAAAGAACTCAGGGAACTATTGAAATTAAATACAAGAATACATAGAGGACTGTAAGACATATCGTGTATAATTAGAAGTTAAATTTTAAACTATAGATACCCTGCTAACTAAGCTTCATTGCATCAGAGGAACCCTCAAATCCTGGATTCCTGAACTCATTTATAACCCCTTTTCGAACTTGTAATAAACAGGTTCTTACATCATGGGTTCCTGCGTTCCCTTACAGAGTTCTCTTATCAAATAAGCTTCGAATTATGACTCAAAGCCTTCGATCCTGCACGCCTGATTTTCTTTACATAAATCCCTTACAGGCATTTTATGGGGTATTCTATATGGCTTTTTAGTATTCCAAAAAAACATTGTAGAAGGTCTGGTGTAATATGTATAGGCGGGGTATTCTACGAACAATCCCTATATCCATTTAAACCCTTGCTACATAACCTTCGGTGCATTCCAAGAACTCCTAGATTCAAGATTCTTCCAGCTTTCCCTTACATAAGTTTCCTACTCAATAAGCTACAACTCAGCCGGGGAATTCTCAGATATTGGGCTTGGGCTCCTCCTGATTGTCCTTATATGTATCGTAGCAATGAGAGTTTCTATAGGTTGTTAGACAAGTTTAAGCGTGAAGATATCATTTGTAGACGGTATTTTGCAAGGTATTCTATAGAGTATTCCGGATGGTCATCTACATTGTACGGTATATCCAGGGTAGTATATCTTCTATAATGCATTTTGCGTGGTATTCTGTGTGGTATTCTATAGGGTATTCCACAAGTTATTGTGTACGGTATTCAATAGCGTAGATATACGGGGTATTCCTCAAAGTAAATGATAAGGTATTTTGTAGGATTCTATAGGTCATAGCGTATTCAATAGGGCATTCAGGTATTGCAGAATTACGGTATTTTCTATGAAATCATTTAAGGTATGCAGGGGAGGTATTCTAAAAGGTATCCTATAAGGAATTTTATATAGTGTATTCCGTGTGGTGTTCTATACGGTATATTTAATACAAAGCGTTTGGGTGTATCATATATAG